GAGTAAAAAGTGATACACCTTGTTTGGAAATTGGCACAGACCTTTTGATAAGGTGGTTAACTCTTTGTATGAAGTTGTTTAAATGATCGTTTGAGTTTGTTATTTTGACCAAATGTGTATTAGTTGCTAGACTTGACCAAATGATCATCTCAAATATATTTTTACCAACTAAAATGAATATTTTCATTACCTTTTTTTTGAGATTTAAATTCTACAACTATCCTTACTTTCTTAATTTATTACACTACACTCATCTCAATTAACATACATCATCTATTTCCATTCAGGTTAAAATAAACATTACTTCATCCGTCCCTAATGAAAGTCACTCTCCAAACAAGATTCCACCACTTTAAAAATCATTTTAATTATAAATTGGTATAGAAATAAAAAAAATATAAGTTACACCGTTTAAAAGTACATAAAAAATTTTACTCCATCCGTCCCAGTTTAGAAGTACTTGTTTTGATTTACGATGTTTGATCAAAATTATTTTCAAATCATTTTATTTGAAACATAGTGTAGAATTAAAAAACAAAAAGTTCATGTTAAAATATTACATCAAAAGACCTATAAAACTAGTCGTGACAAGATCATATTATTTGATCAAATGACTAACAAAAATAGAGAAAGAAAAATGAATAAAGTAAGACCATGTGAATTGCAAACATGCAATTTAATTTGGAATGGAAAAGTATAAATCAAGAAGATACAAAAATATTTTATTTTATCAAATTACCAATAATAACATACAAACAAAAATTATCGAAAGACCGTATAATAACAGTGAATCAGTGATATCTATTTTAGGACGAAAGTACATTATTTTTTCAAATCTTCTTAGAATGCATGCAAAAGGTCAATATGAAAAGATCATTCCCAGATAGAAGAAGTAATAAAAATATTTAGCAAATAAGTTTACACTAAAGATTATTACATATCTTCATGATCTACGATTATTTTAGGACGAATAGAAATAGAAAAAAACTTTTTGAGACGGATGGTATTATTTATTTACACACTTATTATGTACTCCATTTTTATTTATGTATACAATATATTTTTTGTTTGTTTGATCATTCAAAATATTTATATCCAAGGGCAAAATAGTAAAGAGCATTTCATTTTCTGCCAAAAGTTCACTCGAAATGTTACTCCTAGCCAACTTAAACAGGCAACTCGCAAACACTTCATTGGTTGTTTGGCTGGTCGGACAACCAAAAGAGGTCAAAACAGCCAAAAGCTATTTCAAAAGCCAAAATCCAAACATGGCCTCTGTGGGTTTTAAAAAACAGAAGAAAAAAAAAGACATGTATCAGGGAACATAGCAAAAAATAACAGACAAAATATGCATGACTAAACATATGCTGAAAATGTTGTGTAAAATGGGGGACACAAATCTTGCCAATCTGACAAGATTCTTGTACCAAAATGTCCAATTGCACAAATTTCACCTTCTCCTGGTTAATCTTGCCGGTTGCACGAAAAAAATACATACAAACCTTCAAATGTACTCCGTAACTAAGCACGTGTTCTCATTGAGAGTCCAAATGTGCTGGTTTCATTTTTATTAAACACGGTACGAAAAAGCAAGTTACATAATTTAACTCCCCACAAAACCTCTAGGCTCAAAGCATATATAAATGAGCTCAATTTACATGATCACATATAATCATAAACCCCAGATGCAACTTATGCTAAATGGACTCTTGTCATATATGCTGAACTCGTATGCTTATACGGAGTACATCTTTTCATCAAAGTTAACATAAGGGGTCATACTGTCCAATGTTATGTGACACGCTGTCACCACCAAAACCGTGATAATTATGTGCTTCACCACACACTTGTCATGGTTTTGGCCACAAAACATCAT